ATTTTGGGGGGGCACCTTTCAGCCCATTATCCTACTTGCTCAGGCAAACCTAGAAATCAGATGTAACCTGAAGCATCTAAGATGAGTGACTCAGGGACTCCTGCAGAGTAAGGGCCACAGGCGTCCTGGAGAAGACCTCACACAGTCCCATTGCACAGAGGAGAACACTGAGGCTCCGGGGAGGAAGTGGCAGAGCCCAAGATGGACTGGTGAGACTGCCTCTCCTCAGACACAAATCCCCGTGCCTGGAGACAATATTCACTCGCTCTTCCTGCAAACAGCAAACCTCGTGTGAGCATCCGTTCTTCCATCCAGAAGTCCCGGCCGTGGGCGGACTCGGTGGCACATACTCGGGGCAGGACACAGGGAGCAGTAACCTATCTATTTTGGTGGAAGCTCCTAATGCTTCTTGGCTTGTGTAAACCACTGCCCTCTTAGACTGAGGCCTGGAACACATCTGATTTTTCTTGAAGAGCACAACTGATTTTAAATATCATCTGTTGTAAACCTCTCTGGCTAACCTGCAATATATTTCAGAAAAAGGTTGATTTGTCATTGGGGGTTTTTGTGGAGGGAGAGGGGGCTGATGTGACAAGCTGGAGGAAGGGCCTAAGTTCGAAATCATCCCTGATTTTTTAACAACTAAGCTGTGTGACCTGGGCCAATTAGCTAACCTCTCTGAACCTCCTCTTCTCCACCTATGAGATGGGACGGTGACCCCCAGCTCCTGGAACTGGTCTGAGGATTGTTGAAGCAGTGAAAGCACTTGGCAGGCAGTCACTACTCAGCCAATAAAGGAAAGGTGCTTACAGTCTGGGCGGAAGGTAAGATGCAGTGATAGCTACCACGTGTGTGAGACCGCGGTCCCAGGGCCTCACGTGTGTTCACTCAATCCTCTTAACGACTCGAGGCCGCACTGTTACTCTCCTTTTACCGGCGGGAAGCTGAGGCTCAGCGCGGGCGAGGGGCCCGGCCCACGGCAGAGCTGCGCCTGGAGCCTGGCCTCGATGCGGCTGCTCCAAGGTGTCAGGAGGAACGCGAGGAGGGAGTGAAAGGGCTCAGGGTGGCTGTGCGGGCGCAGAGAGAGAGGACGCCCCTGGCTGGAGCCGCGCGGGAGGGCCTCAGGACACAGGCGGCCCTGGAAGGGCTGTGCAGGGTTTGAGCAGACATGGGTGTGAGGCGGCTGCCCGTCGGGCGTCTGCACGGCGCCGGGGTGGGGGTGGGGGGGGGCTGCTCCGCCGCAGCGCCAGGCTCGCACCTCCCACCAGCTCTTCCGGAAGCTTCGGGAAGGGGAGCTGGCCCCTCTCGGGCAGGGGTGAAGATGCCACGGAGAGGCCGGGCTTCAGGGGCCGAGGAGATGCTGCTGGGTCTCGGGGCTTCTGCACCAGGCGGGGTGACTCGTTCGGGTCCAAATCGAGGGAATGACGAGCCCTTCACCCAGGACAGGAGGTGTCATCCGGGCTGTCCCAAAGCTGGCTCAGGTGGTCACGCTGTCACTGAGCAGCAGCCTGGGCCTTCGGGACACAGCAGACAGCCCCGCACGGCGCCTCACGACGCAGCCGGGGCTCAAGGGGGCCTGGGGGGCAGGGCTCAGCGGACAGCATCTCCCAGGTGGCACGTGGCCGGCAGGAGCATCATGGAGCCGGAGCGGGGGGTGGGGCCGTGGGGTGGGGAGGGCGCCTCACCTGCCTGGACCCCCCTGCAGCCCCCGCTGAGTTTTGGGAACAGAGAAGGAACCTAGACTTTCCCCCCAGAAGGGACTTTCTCACTTACGAAAGGAAGACGCCACTGGGGTGGTTATTTGAGTAACTGGGGCAGGAAAGCCCGGCGTCTGCTCCCGGCGCTAGAATAACCCGAGCAAAAATAGCCTTGTGGGTGTGTTTGCTTCTTTTCAGCAGGCCAGCCTCTGAGAGGGTCTGTGGTGTGTCCCGTGTGACCGTGTGCCCCCAGAACTCTCGGTTCCCCCTTCTCACTCTCTCTGGGGAGCCAGGGGGCCCTGGGAGGAGAGGTAGGGTGGTGGTTGGGGGGGTTCTGCACCCCCGTGAGGAGCCGTGTCTGTGCCTGAACCCCCCTCACCACCTTGTCCCACCCCTGCAGGAGGCCCCGCCTGCCAGCGGGGGCCACAAGTCACACTGGCCCCGAGGGGATAAGCAGACACAAAGCAGGGCCCTAAGCATGTGGGGTGAAGACGGTTTAGAGATGTCAGGACACAGAGAGGGTGGGGGCTGCACAGGCAGCTGAGGGAGGAGGACGAGGACAAACTTTCCCTCTTCCCACCGGAGCCCCTGGCCAGGGATGCTGTGGACTGGCTGCAGCATCAGTGAAGGACCACAGGGGAGCAGGTCCCAGAGCTTCAGTATTTGTGAGGCAGAGGAGAAGCAAGGCAGGGACACGGTGGTGACGACCAGGTCTTCCCGCAGGTCCTCACCCCCGACCCCACTCCAGGTCCCCGAGCCCCTCTGGAGACCACACTGCTGTCGGACGAACACACAAGGGCCTGGGCTTCTCTCTGGAGCAGAATTTCTCCCCTCACCAGTGGCATCCACAAATTTGCTCTGTCTCCCAGGAAATAATTAACTAGTGTTGGGATGGTATCAGAAAATTGCTAATTACGGCGGTGAGCTCACACAGCGATCTGGGGACTGGAGGAGCTGTAGTTAGCAATGACAGAAAAGGAAAATATTTGAGTGTTGGGTGCTGCACCTGGCTTCTCTGGAGGAGGTGAGAGACGAGGCTGCACCCAGCCAGGGTTGGAGCCCCTGGTCCTGAGACTCCTCTGTCTCCTCCTGAGAGTGTGGGGCAGGGCGGTGGGCTGGGAAGTTCAAGAGGATGAGAGGAACGTGGACAATGAGGGGGCTTGTGTCACTGGGTCTAGTGTCCCAGAGGGACTGGGTGTTGCCTGTTCCCACCCCAAACTCTCACACTGTCTCAGGCTCACACACTTAACACTTACACACTCACACTCATACTCATGCTCACATACCATCATCATGCACACTCACACTCATCCATAATCTGCCGTACCTCACACCTCAGTGATGGAAAGTGGCATCTGCCTGGTGTTCTGTGCCCCGGCTCTGTCTCAACGCCCTGTCTAGGGCTCTAGTCTCTCTAACAGTAGGGACTCCTAGAGACTGGAGCCCCACTGCGCCACCCCGGCCCCTCCAGCAGGTGGAGGAGATCTTGCCATCCACTGACTGAGTTCCTTGAAGCTGGGCTGGCCTAACTTGACCTATAGAATGTGGCAGAATTGACTTTCTGGGTCTTCCAGGGCTAAGTCCTAAGAAGCCTTGAAGTTTTGCCTAGACCTTTAAGAACATTTGTCTGGGGAGAAGGCGGATTCCAAATTAGAAGTCCAACCTCTCTGAGACCACCATGCGGTGAGGAAGCCCAGGCGAGCTGCATACAGTAGCGTTTTGGAGAGAGAGATTGCCAGTCTGCCCCCGGCTGCCCCAGCCACACCAGCAGATGACAGACATGTGAGTAAAGTTGCCTCTTGATGATTCCAGCCCAACCGCTGTCTGGCTGTAACCGCGGGAGAAACTCTGAGAACCACCAGTACAAGCCCAGTCCGCCCCCAGAATTATGAAAAATAGCTGGATCCCAGGAGCGGTGGAGTTCCAGGCAGAGGAACAACATGTACAAAGTCCAAGGCTGCTTCCTCAGACATCCTGTAGAGAATCAGGCTTCTAAAAACAGCTTGGAACCAGCTCTTTAGAACAGTTGTACTACTTGGCTCTCAGGCGTTGAACAGATCTTGAGGGACATTTAATCCATCCGTAGATGATCTGGGGGCAGAGGTGATTCATAAACCCCCTGAGATTGTAGCTACATTCGCTCGGGTTCAGGGGCATTACATTTCTGGGATTTAAAAGGCGCCTGAGAACTCTTTCTAAGAACTGGGGTAGTGTTTTACATTTTGAAAACAGAGTTTTCTAAGCCAGCCATAATTAGGCTGGGAACTAAGAAAACATACTCCTCGCTGAGCACGAAGCTGATTCTTTAAAAGAATCAAGGGAAGCGATAGCATTTGGGTCAAGACCCTTGGATTTCCTACTTACTCTCTGTTGACTTAGTTCATAAAAATAAGCATTTCGCCCTTGAGCTCTAAGAGTCCCGAGGGTTGGAATACATTTGGTAAGACTAAATGTGAAGAAAAGAACAAAAAACCCCAAATCCAAAGGAAGCCGGGAGAGCTCTGGCGTCTGCTGGCCCTTCCCCAGGTCCTAATTGTGTCCCAGGGCCCCGGCCCTCCGTGCCTGAGCCCGTCCGGGGCCCCGAGCGCGAGGTTGAGCAAATGAACGAAGGCGGGCGGAGCGGACAGGGTCCTGCCCAGGCGCCCCTGGCGGCCTGAGCCCCTCCACCCCGAGTACTCAGCCACCTCCGCCTCCAGGTGGCGCTCGAGAGCCGCCGTCCTGCGTCCACCTCAGAAAGAGCCCTGTGACCCGACCAGGCCTCCAGAGTCAGCCTGTCCCCGAGAGCCCCCGAGGCGATTAGAAGCTCCGCGTGGAGCTTTCCAGAAGTGAGGGGGAGACAGGGTTGGAAAGCATCTCACCTCCTCCAGGCAGGGTCCTCCACTGAGTTTTTCTCTTGTTGGAGTAAAAGAGTTCACATCTCAAACTTTCCAGCCGAGGAAACTAGAATATTCATGAAAGGGTCAGGCCTGTTCGACATGGCTTTCGGCTCCCAGCTGGACGTGTTGTAACACCTGGCAGAGGCTCTCTCGGGGGGGGGGGAGGGGAAGGTAATTAGGTTCTCCTTTAAAAAAAAACCTTTTATTTTTTAATTCTTATATTTTATTGAAGTGTAAAATCTTAGCTTCAGGTGTGCAGCAAAGCGACTCAGTTGTACATATACATACATATATGTATTTTCCTATTCTTTCCATTATAGCTTATTATAAGAAATTGAATATAGTTCCTTGTGCTCTACAATAGATACTTGGTGTTTATGTATTTTACATACAGTAGTGTGTATCTGTTAGTTCATTGTTTTTTTGATGGAAATACTGGGGATTGAACCTAGGACCTCGTGCACGCGAAGCACGTGCCCTACCACTGAGCTATACCCTCCCCCCCATTCCAGGAAGGCCTGTTCTTCAGCAACCATATGCTGCCAGCTGCCAGCACCCAGGCAAGGATCAGCACTTCCTTTAATTGTCTTTATGGAGTCCCATGTTAATGGGAGATTTTCTGGGATTTGTCACAAATACATTTCTGGTTCGAGCGCCCAGTAGAACAAAATGAACCACAGTCAGGCTGACAGGCGTTGCTCTCAGAAGCTGCATTCCTGTCTGGTTCTCCACGTAATCCACGTGTGTAGCTGGGAACATTTAGAAACAGCCTGTCTCCTCCTGGTTTTCCCCTAGAGTACATCCTGACCAGTGTTAACGCTGCACTTCTGGGTGACGCGTGTGTGGTTCAGTTCCCAAAGGTGTTACGCAACCCAGCATCAGAGAGAAGACCAGGGGTGGTGAGGCTAGAAGCCGGCAGTTCACATCTGTGAGAAGCTGATTGTGACCTGCAGGGACCAGGTTCCCAGGGCAATGGCTGGAACGAGTGGGGAGGCTGACAGGAGCCGAGGTGATGCTTGGACAGTACCCCGCTCGCAGGCGCGGGCCCAGCAGCATGGGGTAAATGCTTGCTGTTCAGACCACACTTCTCCATGGAGAGAGCATTGCACATAAATGAGGTTCGATTACCCCGCAGACCAGTCCCCAAACAACTGGAGCCACAGTCTGGATGAACTGCTCAGGGGAAAACAACCACACCATCAGGGCTCTCACTGTGAAGGATGGAGGACGACAGAAACACCATCACATCGGGGAAAATCGTGTTTGCGAAGTTTCATCTTGAATGCTAGTGCTTATGGAAAGCGGGTTTCCTTGGAGAAATAGAATGAGTAGTTAGAGACTCATCGAGATGGAAAGGCTCTTCTGGGTACTTTCCAGAGCTTTCCAGACGGAGAACAGCAGAGTGTCATTGTATTTACCTACACAGCTCCTCCTGGGTGTCCCTGGATCACCGACACCACTTTTACATCCTTCATCCCTTGTGCTGGTTCACATTTGGCTCCCAGTGGAAGGCAGAGAGGACTAGGATGTGGGTAGAGAATTTCCTGGAGAAACTCCAATGAGTTTCAAGAGAATGAGGAGGAAGCGGTTAGAAGGTTGGAGAAAATATGGCGGGCATGTGAGAGACAGGATGTATCTAGTAGAATTAACTAACTCTGGATGGAAATATTTACTGGATACTGAGAGACAGAAGGTCCATGGTGGGAGGATGGGGGAGGAGAGGGAGGCACACCTGGGGGGAAGCTGGCTGACACACTGGTATCAGAGGACGCCGTGGACCCAGGAGGGCTTGGCTCCTGCCTGGCAGATGGAGTCAGCGCGGAGCAGGGATGTGGGGCACACGTGGTCCTTGTTCAGGCAAACAGAAACACGTTTCCTGGGGTGAAAATGCACAACGTGTGGATCCCAAAGGTGAACTTGCATTTTTTTTTAATGTTTTGCTAGGATCTCACTGCAGTGGAGAAAAAGCTTTGCATGTTTCCTAGCATTTAGATTCTAGCCCTGAAATGTTCCTGCAGGTCAAGATTTATATAAAATGCTCAGAGGAGGCTGTCATAGGTTTTGATGTGTATTTCATAGTTTCTGGCATACCACATGGTCTCATAAAGAGATTTATGAAAACACAGTATTTATGGTACAATATCCATGTTTTATTCAATGTGATTACATTGTGGCTAAGAGAGAGGCTGTGGCCACAGCCTCACCACAGAGTTGGGGCTGGGTGGGACCAGATGTCCTTGGCCTGGCCGTGTCAGTAACCTCCCTCCTTGGGTTCGTAATCTGGGGATTCTCCTGCCTCCGGGGCAGGGGTGGGGTGGGGCCTGCCTCTTCTCACTTTGCAGGGAAAGAGCAGCACACCCCTCCTTTCCCGCCTGGGCAGGCAGGGGGCCGAGCAGAGTATTAGTAACACAGTCGGAGACGTGGCCTCAATCTTATCTGAGCTAGGAGTCCGGCGTGTTATCCAGTCTGCCGCCCTCAACTTATCTAAGGAACCACACAGCGTGGATTCATCCTTCAGTCCCAGCTCCCCAGCGAACCTTCCCTCCTTGGAAACCTGAGAACCTTCGCTTCCAACCTGGCCCTCTGGGCCCGGAATCAGATGGGCTTGGCTCCCCTCTGATCTCCCTGAGAGTCTGTGAGCCGGGGGTCCCGGCAGCTGGAGTAACCCTACCCCCGCACAATCCAGCTTCTTTTCTTTTCCTGGACAAGATTTATGTGGGCGGGTGTGGTCTTACCGCCGACATTCCCCGGAGAGGCCCCGAACCCCCGCATCAGCACAGCCCCATTCAGCTCCCTGCTGATGGGTTTTCAGATAAAGTTGGGTTGATACTTAAGGCAAATCGAATTTGCCTGTGATTGAGAAACCACTTTACAGGACTTAATGGATTGAGTTAACCCTTACGAGGCAGGGAAGCCCAAGGGCCCATCTGTAGTTTTAGATGCTTTAATCTACCCGCGGGCTTGGGCTCGGAGACAGAAACGAACCAGACCTGAGCCCTGGCTACTCCGTGCTGGCTGTGTGACCTGGGGCTGGTTACCTAACTTCCCTGTGCCCAGCTTCCTTCCCTGGAAAGCAGTGTAATAACAGCCTTGCAGGGTTGCTGGGAAAAGCGCATACTGAGCACAGTCCAGCACAGAGAAAGGTGGCTAAATTTTTTTTTTAGTTTTCTTTTTTTTTTTGGAGGGGGGCAGGTATTTGGTTGGTTTATTTTTAGAGGAGGTACTGGGGATTGACCCGGGACCTCGTGTATGCTAAGCATGCGCTCTACCCCTGAGCTATGCCCTCCCCTGAGGTTCGCTATTATTACGAGGTCATTTCATTAATCTGCGGGAGCCATGGAGCTAACGGCTTTGCTGTTGTTGTTTGATACAGGTCATCGCTGACAAGCAGACAGTGTCACGCATAGAGAGGCAGCCACAACCCAGGAAATGAGTCGGGAAACCAAGACTCAGATCCAGGGCCATGATCCATCCGTGTCTGATGCTCCTTCCCACTGGTCCAGGTACTTGACTGCTAAGGACGCTGGGGGTGGAGGGCTGGCTGAGTGACACGAAATAATAAACTACATTGTGCACACAGTGTAGCCCCTGCACGTGGGGGCTGGGGGCACCTTCCACATGGGGCCACCAGTGCCGTGGCTGCAGGCGTATCCCTCCCACGGCGGGATGTGCTCCGGCTTCAGTGAATTCCCTTTTATTTACCTGGCGATGTCGGTCCCAGACAGCCTGGGCCTGGCTGCTGATCTGAATGGTAATCAGCCTCTCCTGTTTCCCCGTCGTCGTCAGAGAACCCCGGACGCTAATAGCCTCCCCGGGGAGGGGCTGCAGCCTTTCCGGGTGTCTGCGCTGTTCTCGGCCCCCTGCGTCCTCATAGGTGGCAGCTGGGGATGAAAAGGATGTTGCAACTTGGCTGACAGTTTCACGGGATGAAAAGGATGTTGCAACTTGGCTGACAGTTTCACTTAAAAAAAAAAGAAGAAAGAAACAGTAAACACTCATTTCTGTTGGCTGGAGTGGAGTGACATTTATATTTTTGGACAGTCACTCCAAATTACTTTCTGCGGAACCTCCATTTTATTGTATTTGTTTTTAAAGTCTAAATGCCTCAAGTCTGTTGGTTTCTCATTTGGGACTCCAAGAAATTGTGACCCCAGCCTTATACCCCACTCAGGTCTTCTACACACAAAGGGGGCTGCGTTGCAAGAGCCCCCCCCACCCCCTCCCCCATGTGCAGGGCACCCAGAGAAAGGACGTGGGCTCTTACAAGAATGATTTTATTGTAATGTCCTTGAAATTGGAGCTAGCCATTCTTTCATTGCTCTGTGCACAGCTGGGTGGATTGGGGCCCTGCCCCTGGGGGCTTCCATTCAAGGCGAGGTTCTGGAAGCTTCTTTCCGAGGATTGATGGGGCCCTTCCTGCTGCCCAGACCCTGCTGTTGAGCCCTCTCTGTTACCCGCTCTCCCACCAGTTTGTGCTGAGGGTGCAGTGCCCGGCAAAGAGGACGCCGGCCTCCCCGCCCAGTGAAGCGTGGGCCTCCCTGTGGACGTCCGGCCTGCACCAGGCCTGCAGCCCCCCTGGGAGGACGCAGACACTGAGTGCAGGGGCTGCTGGGAGCTTTCCATTCCCACAGCTAAATTCATTCCATCAGAGTTTTCCCTTTGCTGAAGTCTGATTGGTGCAGTCATCATGTCAGAGCGAATGTTATTATTTTAGTCAAAAGCAGTAAACCAGAAAGACATTCTCTATTACAGCTCTCCTCTCTGTCCTAGGGCTAGGATCCTGAGCAAAGAGCCAACTAGACCTGGTTATGTTCTGCCACCACCAAAACTGGCCTGTTGGGTTTGTCCGAAATCATCTTAAACAAGGAGGCGAAAAATCTCATGTAGAGACTACATCTACATAGATGGAAAAAGACGGCGCTGTGGTGCCTTCCTTCTAGGGTCTGTTATTCTATCCTGTAGGATTCTACACTACACATGATGCTGGGCACAGTAACGGAGGCAGTGTGTGTTTGTTAAATGAATAAATGAAACATGCAGTGTCCTTGTGTATTACACTGTGCCACATGGCATGAGGCAAACTAAACACCAGCTCCACCTTTGGTGAGCTGGTGTCCTGACTGTCTGTGGGTGTTGGATGACAGGTCCCAGCGATGGGGGAAAAAAAAATCCAAAATAGAATTCTTGTTTATGCTTTCCTCCAACAAAATGCATATCAGATGTCAGAAAAATCAGTATGTCTGTGGGTAAGATTACAGTGCAAAGTTTTATGAAGTCATCAAGGTAAATCCTATTTTGCCAAATTGCCACAAAATTGTGAATGTTCTCATGGCCCTGATTCAGAAAACGTCCTTAAACAAAGAACATCTTGATTTGATTGCATTTGTTTTGGAGCCCATATGCTATGGATTTTTTTTTCCAGTGTGGTATAAACATGTAAGGATGGTAAGTGAAAAATGAGATCATTTTTCAGATGCATAGATTTCCAACCGACAATCA